TGATATATGTTTCTATATGATATGAATTGTATGAAATGATATATGTGTGTTATGAGTCATTGTATCTGTTATAAGAATGAGACATAATATATATGATAAGAGCATAAGAGTTATATGAACAAGAGATAAGAAATATGAATGATAATAGTGTATGAATATGATAGAGATAATGATAATGTTGCCATATGTACATGTATGTATTATGTTATGTGAAATGTTTTATGATTTTTATTATATGTTTATATGCCTCTAAGTCATCGACTTAGCGTGTGATTGTTTCACACATAGATTTAGAAAGCGAAAAGAGAAGTAAAGAGGAACAAGACATGTCAGTTCTCCTTATCTAGATCAGATCAGAAATGTAAATCGAATTACATGTATTTTGTTAGAAAGAATTTAGTTGGCATGTACTAATATAAAATATTTGAATCTGATATGTTTTAATCGGTTTTGTAAAATCATATGATTGAATTTTGTAAGTTTTAAAGGCATATATGTAAATGGAAATTTTATACTAATGAAAACTATGATTTTTATAAATTTATACGTATTTTTACGGTAGTACTATAGAAGGGTATCGATTCCCTGTAGCAGGGGAATCGGTTCCCTTATTACAAACTGGAAATTTTAACATTCGGGGTACTGTAGCAGGTTACTATTCATATGGTATTGTTCACTGTTCATACCATATTTTACTGTTCGCAAATATGTTTTTACCTCAAAATTTTATACCAAACACAATTGAACAATAAACCATGTATTTTCTTAAAATAAGTTCAAATGTTTTCATATTTTGTACGAATATCGTTTTTAAAAGTCAATGTGACATCTCGGACTCGTATTCGGGTCGGATACGGGTTGGGGTGTTACACCGTCCCCCAACTTTTAAAGTGTAATTCATTTGCAGTCACTGTGTTCAATTTGGCTTCTGAATCTTTAATTTATTCAATTTGGTCCCTAGTTATAATTTATATTTTTGCAATTTAACCCTCTAACTCTTTATTTTATTTTGCAGCTCATTTTTAGTACCAATTTGATCCATCAATTCCAATATGTTTCAATCGAAACATTTTTTTAGCATATTTTATTTTTTTAAATCATTATTTGTTTTATATTTTTTTACTTATTATTTTCATTACTTTTAAAATTTAACTTTTTTTATTATTTTATTTTTTTTTTTCCTTTGATTTATTTAATATTTTTTTTATTTTTTTCCTTTGATTTATTTTTATTTTTTTCCTTTCATTTATTTAATATTTATTTATTATTTATTATCTAATATTTTTGACTTTTTAGGGATACTTTCAACCAATCAAAGGTAAGTAATTTGAATCGGGTTTTTAAATCACAATTTAAATTTAAATTTTCGCAATTAAGACAACCGATAAATTAAATAGTACTGAAATGCAGTTCAAGGGTGCTAATCCTTCTTGACTGTAACCGACTCCCGAATCCAACATATTTCTGGTAAAACGCAGATCAGGTAAGATGGTGCTGATCAACCAAATTTAAAAAAATAAATGATCGGTGGTGGCTCTAACATTTTATTAAAGTTCGAAGCCCAATTCCGGGTCCACCCAAAAGACGGTTGCGACAGGAGGGTTCCCCTTGTCTCTGCAGTACTACAGTATGGATTAATCGATCAATAGATTTATCGACTCGTTTACAAGCTTGTTGATTGGTTCGTTTATCAGTCTATTTTAATACTCGCTTATAAGCTTGTTTGCTCGGTTCTTTTTTTTAATTATTTCTTTTACATTTTAAGTATTAGTGAAATTAAGGATTAAATTGAACATAAGATAAACTTTGAAGTTCAAACTATAAAGCTTGAGGAACTTAAGGACTCATGGTGTAATTCACCATTTTTCTTTCGCTCGTAAATTATGTGTTAAAAGAGAGTTTTGGTTCCTAACAAACGAAAATGTTCACGAATGTTATACGGATATGTACGTTCGTAAAAGTTAAATGAACGAATATGAACACGATATTAAAAATTTAAACGAACACGAATCAAATATGAATAACTTCAAAAATAAATAAACAAACACGACACAACTTTATTCTTTCAAACTTAATTCATTTACATCCCTACAAATGTTGATAGAGCCCCTTATTTGAACATACAAATGTGTCTCTTGTAGACAAGGTTTAGTTATCTTTCATTAATTAAGGCGATAACATTGTTAAAATAACAATGAATTTTAAACGTAGGCTGTAAAACATATATAAACTACAAAAATGTTTACAGTATTAGATCACCATATAAGAAATTTCCAAGTAATAAAATTTGTTTATATAAAAAGAATGGCACAGGTGATGATGAAGGAATCTAATATATGAGGTAAGCATTCATTTGCTCAACTATTAATTCTCTGTATATTATGAGAGAAAGATAGAGAGAGGTGGTCCTGGTGATCATGAAGACACCTTTCGATTTTAGTACAAAAGGTCAAAGCCTCATTTATGTCTTGTAGTTATGCCAGTCCCTTCCTGCCTCATTTATGTCTCGTATTTTTTATCCGGTTCTTTTATTCATTATATTTCAAACATTTTCGTCACCATATATGTTTATGGTTTTCTAAGGAAGTTGTTTATGTATTATGTTGGAAAATAATAAATTTTCATACACTTGAGATAAATTATTTTAAAAATTCAATTTTTGTTCTGGTAAAATAAAAAAAAGATAAGATCGAGTTTGGTTGTTTTTATTGTAGTGCTATTGTTAATGAATGATTGTTGTTGTATCTTCATAGATGGACGTCTAATATTCTCAAGTATTGAGAAGAGGACGAATCTATTTTGAGGAGATTGTTTATACCTGCCCTGACAAATCTTGTTACTAGTTCAACTTTTGGAAATTTTGACAGCAAATTTTTCACATACTTGAAAAAATTATTTCAAAATTCAATTTTTGTTCTAGTAATAAAAAAGACAATATCGAGTTTGATTTTCTTTATTGGAGTAATGCTATTGCTAATGAATGATTGTTGTTGTATTTTGAAAGATGTAGTCTAATATTCTCCAAACACTGAAGAGACGACGGATCTATTTTAATAAGATCGTTTGTACACGTCTCAACTAATCTTGTTACTAGTTCAACTTTAGGTAGATTCTTTGCAAATTCTTTACAGCCTTCAAAAGCGAACCTCCTCTCAAGTGAATTTTTGGTCTTCGTAACACCTATCCTTCGTACAATTTTTAATTTCAAATTAATATTTTATGTACAGTATTTACTCTTAAATTGGATTATTTTGATACTTTAAATGAATCTATATTCTAAGATGACATGTATTATCAACGTCCCTTTCAATTTAAATTTAGATAAGTTTATTTTTAATAACATGATATTATCTATTTTTATACCTTGTAGATATATTAAATATAATCATTATTTGTATTTATATATAGTAAAAATCGCACGAACACCCTTTAATAGTAAAAGAATTATCGTTATTTATTGAGGTTCAGATTCAAACACTATAAATGTACCTTATATTTACTCTAGATTAATTAAAAAAACTTAAAAACCTTAATAGAACAACAATATTTCGATCTTCATCAATTCCTAGCATTACTATCTAATAATATAATAATTAAAATATAGGATTTTTTTTTTATTATCCTCCGGATTCGAAGGTGATTTGAGTTCAGAATCCGAAGATATATCGGATTCTACCCAAAATTGGGGGCCCCGCATTTGACATCTACTTTCTAAAGTTCTGTTTGACTTTGAAATCCAAATAAAAATCCAAAAATAACGCATCCGAAAAGGGAGCGTTTCGATCAGGAAAAGGAAGGGAGCGTGAAAGGAATCAAATGAAGCCGGCGCGTGTAGAAGAAGCTAATTAAAAACGTTTTGACTTGAGCTGATCCACTTTTTTCTTAATTCACAATTTGATTCCTAAATTAAATTTACTTTTCTCACTCTGATATTTAAACATTTTTCGTCTCACTTAAATACAGTCGTACCATGTTCTTATGAAATACAAACATTTTTATAAAATATTAAAATTAGTTTCTAAATAAAATCGAAGGTTAAATAATGAATAGAACCTTTTCGTTTTCTTTTTTATTTTAGGAAACGTATGGAAGGGAGATCATACAATCCCTTTATTACCAAAACGGACGCGTTGCAGAAAAAATTACAATAAATGTGACGTCGCTTGATTTCTATGAAACTGCAATTACAATCCTTTTTTTTACCGCGAGTCCACAAATGGTAAAATCTAAATAAACTTTAGCTCCAAATCAATAATTAGTCCCTTCATTTTGGCAAAGATTAATATTTAGTCCTTAGTCCATGTATTTAAGAAACAAAAGCTAAATCTCAAGCAATAATCTTTTAAAATGATTTGCTTCTTAAGTTGATGTTGTCGAATAGGTGTAATGTAAATGTATCAACAATTGAATTACAATTTTAAATAGAAAGGTGAGAGGGATTAACTTTTTTAACTATTAAAAGTTAAGGGCCGGAATCACAATTTCACCTAAAAGTTTATTACAAGAAGAGATAGAGAGGGGGGAGAGTTGGTTTTCTTTCTCTTCTTCTTCTTCTTCCTCTGCAAAGGAAACACCGACAACATTGGTTGTGGTATTTACGGCTACATTGATTTTTTTTAAATATTATATTCTCTGTTTTACACTGTTTTATTTTGTATCTTTTTACCTTGTTTCTCTGGTGCTTGGTTCAATTTCTGAAGCTTTTGTTCATGGTGGGTTTTCATTGTATTTTGGGTTGAAGAATTAGTAGAGTGGCTTCCAAGGTGAAGCTATTTTCTTTTGAGAAAAAAAATCACACAATTCATTTTTCAAATTTCACTACCTTTTCGCTTTGCATTTGATTTTAGAGTAAATTTCTCTTTTCCTGTAGGTTACAGTCTGCTACTTCTCATTTTCTGATTATATATATATATATTTGGGTTGATGCATTTTTCTTCTATATATGGTTCAACAAGTGGATGTTTAATTTGCCTTGAAGGGTATTTTTTATTCTTTGGTGAAGATGTTTTGATCTTACACTATTCTACTGTTGCAGTGTAGTTGAAAAACCAGAGTAGAATCAAAAGAAGAACGGTGAGTCCAAAGTAAGACAAAAATGTATGGAGATTGTCAAGTGATGTCATCAATGGAAGGGAACGTGGTTTCTTCAGAAGCCTTGTTTTCATCAACATTTCAAAACCCTAATTTCAACTTCTTACCATTCGAACCTTTACCTCCTATGATCCCTGTAAGTCTCCCATCTTCCCTTCTTCTTGCTTAAGCTGCACTGTTTCCCCCCCCCCCCATTTTGTGTGACTTTTCCTGGGATTAAATAGAAAGAAGAAAATGGGTTGAAAGAGGACATGGAAAGTGGGTCTGGTAGTGAAATACAAGCTGAAGACAAGACTGAAGAGAATGGTGGTGAGAAATCCGTCAAGAAAAAACGTTACCATCGTCACACTGCTCGCCAGATCCAAGAAATGGAAGCGTATTTCCACTCAACCCTAACTCTTTTTTTAAACTCTTGTTAATGTTTATATAGAGAAATGTTTGGCGTTTCACAGTGTTTTTAAGGAATGTCCACATCCCGATGACAAGCAAAGGATGAGGCTAAGCCAAGAGCTTGGCCTTAAGCCTCGACAAGTCAAGTTTTGGTTCCAAAATCGCCGCACTCAGATGAAGGTGAATTTTCAAAACCCCGCTTATTTTCATCTTTCTCTACCGAAAAACAAACCCTATCACCGGAATAAGAAGAAAAATCCGAACCCCAAGGAAACGCGTTGATGGGTTTGCATGAAGAACCAGTTCAAACCCTAAACTGATGAGAAGGGTTCTTTCTTCTTTAATTTGGGCCACTGCAACTACAGTCTGTCTTCATAAATGTGGAATGGGTTCAGCATTAAACTCGTTTACCTGCTCACGTGCTTCTTCCCAAAGGGTTCTCACAGTTAATGCAGATTATGTTTTATGTATACTCATTTTGGCTCTTAAGGATGTACTTAGTTCTTGGTTTAAATTAATTGTCAGGCTCAACAAGATCGATCTGAGAATGTCATACTTAGAGCTGAGAATGAGTTTCTCAAGAATGAGTTTTACCGGCTTCAAGCGGAACTCAGTAAACTCGTTTGTCCGAAATGTGGTGGCCCGCCTGTGCCTGGAGGAGTTTCCTTCGAAGAACTTCGTATAGAGAACGCAAGACTTGCAGAAGAGGTTATTCATCACGATATTACTTTTTTCTCTATTTATTCATGCATCGAGCTAATGCTGGTATATCTTTTAACAGTTGGAACGGGTCTGCGCCATTGCTTCACGATATATGGGACGGCCAATCCAAACAATGGGTTCATTGATGCAACCTTCATTAGAATTGGACATGAACATATATCCAAGGAAATTCCCAGAGCCCATGGCTCCTATACTGTCTGAAGCAGACTCCTTTCCTGAGAACAACAACCTCTTTTTAATGGAGGATGAGAAAACTATTGCAATGGAGCTTGCCATGTCTGCAGTGGATGAACTGGTGAAGATGTGCCGAGCAAATGACCCTCTTTGGATTCGAAACAACAAAATTGGAAAGGAATTACTTAACCTGGAAGAGCATGCCAAGGTGTTCCATTGGCCATTAAATCTCAAGCAACGCTCGAGTGAGTTCAGGACTGAGGCTAGCCGCGACAGTGCAGTCGTTATAATGAATAGCATCACTTTGGTAGAAGCATTTCTCGATGCCGTACGCTGCCTTTCCTTGAATTCTCTCTGACAATTTCATTCGACAGCTATTTTTCATGGCGAAAACTTGGTTTTGAAATGATTTCTTTACAATTGTAGAACAAATGGGCCGAGCTCTTTCCATCAATAGTTGCCAGAGCCAAAAGTATTCAAGTTATATCACCAGGTGCTTCAGGGACTAATGGTTGCCTCCAGCTGGTATACACTCCCATTTCATGCAATGCCTACGTCATATTCATTAAACTTAATCCTCCATGGCTCCATCTGATTAGTTGGTTTTGTTTATTTGGGCAGATGTATGCAGAATTGCATGTTCTATCTCCGTTAGTGCCCACACGAGAGGCATATTTCCTTCGTTATTGCCAACACCAAAATCTCGAGGACGAAACGTATTGGGCAATTGTTGATTTCCCACTGGATGGCTTTCATAATAACTTGCAGTCTTCGTTTCCCTTATACAAGAGAAGGCCCTCTGGCTGTTTAATTCACGACATGCCCAACGGCTACTCGATGGTTAAATGGGTTGAACATGCTGAGATTGAGGAGAAACCGACCCATCACATTTTTACTCACTTTGTTAACAGTGGAATGGCTTTTGGAGCAAATCGTTGGTTAGCCGTTTTAGAGAGACAATGCGAAAGGATTGCTAGCCTCATGGCTAAAAACATCACTGACATTGGAGGTTCAATAAATTCTGCTACTTTTTTTTGGTTTGGCTTCCATTTCAATCAGATTTTACAGTACCCATTTATTCGTTCACTTTCAGTGATACCTTCACCTGAAGCAAGGAAGAATCTAATAAGACTATCCCAAAGGATGATAAGAACATTCTGTGTGAACTTCAGCAGCTCCAGCGGTCAGTTATGGACGGCTATTCCAGACTCCTCCGACGATACTGTTAGAATCACGACGAGGAAAGTGTGCGAAGCAGGTCAACCCAATGGACTCATTCTTTGTGCTGTTTCCACTACTTGGCTGCCCTATCCTCATCACAAAGTGTTTGACCTTTTGAGAGATGAACGCCGCAGAACTCAGGTTCCATCTAGTTTCATCACTCTTTCTCTTAGCTTCCTCTAAAAATGCTCCATTATAATGTAATAATATGCAGCTGGAGGTTCTTTCAAATGGGAATGCTTTACATGAGGTGGCTCACATTGCTAATGGTGCCCACCCTGGGAATTGCATTTCACTTCTTAGAATCAATGTAATAATTTTCTTCTCCGATTGCTAAAAGTTACATTTCCACATCTTTAACCCTATAACTTCTAATAAAAGATTAAATGCAGGTTGCCGGCAACTCCTCCCCAAACGTAGAGCTGATGCTGCAAGAGAGCTGCACAGACCGATCCGGTAGCCTTGTTGTATACTCAACTGTGGATGTCAATTCCGTTCAGCTTGCGATGAGCGGGGATGACCCATCTTGCATCCCATTGCTTCCCATAGGCTTTTTCATAACCCCAATGGAACTCATCAAAGATGCCCACAACACCGAAGATGCAAATGGGCATATGTCTGCAGGCAGTCTACTCACCATTGGACTTCAAGTACTTGCCAGTACAATTCCATCGGCAAAGATCAATCTGTGGAGCATTGCCGCCATCAACAACCATCTATGCACAACCGTTCACCAAATCAGTGCTGCTCTGAGTAGTGACAGTGGCTCCCTTGGCTGCCCCGATAAAGGGAATGGTGCAGGCTCAGGTTCCTGCAGTGAGGCTGCTAATGCACCAGAGAAATAGGGTCTTGGTTCTTCGTGAATTACCCGTAACATCCTCAGTTTTTTTAATGGAGCTGAAGATGGGATGACAAATTGGGGAAGTTATTGGTAATTTAGAGAAAATCAAGTAGTGGGAATGTCTAGTTAGTAGGAGTTTTAGTAATTTAATGTGGTAAATAAAGATGTAATGTTTGGTGTGGGGAAAGACTGTAGTGGCAATAGGTGGAGGGAGTCAAGAGCGCACCAGTTGTTGTGGCCCTTACTTTCTGGCCGTAAGCCTAAAATTGGGTACTCACCAATTAGCAAGGGTGGTGGTACTGGTTCGGGTATTGACTTCTGCGTTATTGCTCTTCTTGTTTAATTTGAATGCTGCTTTTAGACTTTTAATTAATTCTATTATGCTTGCCTCTATTTTTTTTATTATTATTATAATTCATCAACGGAACTAAATAGTAAAAGAAAATAATGTATTTTCTAGAGGTTTTAAGTTTAAGTGGTTTCGTCTATAGGGTGTGTGCATTTGATTATAAAAATTTTAAATAGATATTATCCCTTAATTAAAAAGTTATGTTTTAAATAGGAACAAAACTATGATTTTATGTTTACGATAATTTAATTTTTTTTTAGGAAGATTATCTCTTTCACTCCTGTCTTTGACTTGTACCAATGGCGGTGAGTTGTATCTATGCAATTTTGTAACATCAATTTTTCTTTAAAAAAATATACAATTTGGTTTTTAGATTTTGAAAAGTTGCAATTTTTTGAGGAGTTTAATATATTTCAGCTACTTATTAGATCGTGCTTTTTTATATATCCACTTTATGTCAAATTTTAGATTTCCCTTAAATTTAGTATTTCGAGTAAAACTAGATTTTAAAAATGGAGTTTTACACGTACCTGAATAGGAAATCGACAACTTCTCTAAGAATCCTATATGATATTTTTTATTACAAAACTTTAAATTCTTCATAGAATTAACATTTCAACATAAAATATTAATTTTAAAATTAATTAAAAATTGAAAAAAAAAAAAGAATTTGGTTTGGATCTTACTCAAATATTAAGGTATACCAGCTAATTTTTTAAGAAAATTTAAATTCTTTATTTAAAAAAATTAGTTCATCAAACATGACATAATATAACTCTAAAAAGACTGACAGAAGATTAAACAACCATTGCCATTAATTCCATTCAAATTTTTTTTGATAAAAGAGTATTGATAGTAGAATGTACTGAGCAATGTTAAGGTAGTCATCCCCAAAATTAAAGTCTGGAAATTGCATTCGAAGGACGGTGTAATCTTCCCATGTGTTATACAGATCATCGAGATTCAACCAAGGAACCAGCAACTGTGTTATTGGTGTGTTGTTTCTATTTACGATTCGCTTCCCTACAATCTTCTCAGGAAATATCTTTAACTGGCTGTCTATTTCCACAATCCTCTTCTTCAGTAGACTCACATGGAATACAGGGTAGATCCGAGATTCAATTGGTCAGTCTACTCGGTAAGCGACCTTCCATTTATGAAACCTATTGAATTCTTGAACCATCTCGGTCCAGTCGTAAAAGCTTGAAGTAGTGGCCAGCCTCTCCATATTGAAGGTAATGTATATTCCAATGGTTTTCCTGCAGCGCTCGGAAAGAAGTTGAGGCTGTTGTAATTATGGAGATTAATATTTCGGACAGAATCAACTTCCATAGAAAGGTAGGACGCAACATGTTCGATTACAGCTTCAGCACGATATGAGGCATGTACATCTCTTGGGGCTCTTAATGCTCCTCGACTTGGAAAGTTCGTTTTGCAAAGCTTTATATCGAAAGATAGAGCACCCCAATCATATTTCCCAAGTGAACCTAGTATATGACTCGACATTATAGGACTTTCATCAACAAACATTCCTGCATCAAGCAATATATCAAGTTTGAGGACAATAATTTTCTTGTTGCTTTTGCATCCCACTCTGTAAGTTATTTTCATAGAATGCCTTCCTCCTGACATTATCATATTAAACTTCCTATTGACATAAACTCTAACCGGACGGTGTAATCTTTAAGCAGCTACTGCACATGCTGATGCAACTGCCATGGATTTTACAGACTTCCTACCAAATCCTCTTCCGAGCCTTTTAGTTATTACGCAAACATTATGGCCAGGAACACTGAGGCATGTAGCTATTGTACTGTCAGCAAAATCGGGGCACTGAATAAAACTGTATACCACTATGCAGTCGTCCTCGTCCGGGATGGCAAGAGAGGTTTAAGTCTCCATATAAAAGTAGTATTGTGACCCAACTTTGATCTGAGCATCAAGAATTTGATGATCAGCTTCAGACATTCCTTTCGAAAAATTGCCGACCTGCTCAGGATAAAAGGAATGAGGGACCTTATAAAAGCTCTCTCAACTGCCTCTTCAACAGATAATATTGGTGGCTCTAGATTTTCCTTGTCATATTCAACCATTGCAAGATTAGCTACGATGTCTGAGTTTTTCTGCGAATCTGCAACCACAAAGGCAATCTGCTGACCAACAGCATATACTGGTTCAGTTCCAAAAATCGTTATACAACCCAAATTCAAACCAGGAATGTCTTTGCAAGTAATGAGTGCAACAACTCCATCAGACGATGAATGGGGTCGAGTTTTATGCCCTTCACCCTTGCCCTAGGCTCCGTGCTATAGATAAATGCTCCAATATAAGCAATCTTTTGGAGATGGAATGTCATCCACATAAATAGCTTCACCAGAGGCTTGGAGGATAGCTCTAGTTTTTGTCGTTGGCTCTCTGATAGGATAATATTCATGTTTGAACTGAATCTTCTTATTTGAGGCTGATAACGAAGTTAGGCAGTGAGTTTTACCGATTTGCTCATGCTCAGAGTCAGTTGAGGGGATTAAGAACTCAAAAAAGAACCCAACAGCCAAGTTTGATCTATAGACTGGACTAGAGGTGCCATCTTCATGTATTACCAAAGTTTCAAGGAATTTAAAAGCCTCGTACAGCACACTAATGCTTAGCAATTTCCCATTTAGAAACTCCTCAACCTCCTTCACCCTAATAGCATGCTTGGTTCCGTATACACCAAACGCGAACCAACAGTTATTTAGCATAAATCCAGTAGGACTCTGAGACAGCTGAGCCAAGAAAGTAGAATTCAAGTATGGGAGTGCATTTCCAAGGGAACGTGATGCAGCTCGATATGTTTCGAACAGTAACTTTTCTTGGGCATCAGAAGAAACACTCGTACTTGATTCCAAATATGGCATTTTAATACTCAACAGAACATTTTCCAAATCCAGTGGAGGTCTTCCGAGAAACTCCTCAAGTGTGAGCTGTAAACGACTCTGACTGGTCATTATCTCGACAATTGTATCCATAGAAAAGAGTATTATAGCAATATCTGATGGAAAATGTTTCCTCTGTGCAATCATCAAATTCCCACCTACACTACCTGAATTCCTGATGAACCTTAAAGCAATCTTCTCCATGTGGTCACCGAGTTTTTAGAACACCAGTTTAGTTTCTAAAAGAATTTCTTGCCTTGTAAACCACAAACAATGAATAAGATCGGTGTAAACCAACTTTTAGTAGTTGAGAATGTTGTTGGGAAATATTTGAAGCTTGCATACTTTTATTAGACATTTTGGGAAGACTATTTTATAAGTGCTTTGTGTAATACCCATTTTTTGGATAGTGACTAAAATGTAAGTTTTGAAAGTTTAGGGGTTAAAGTATAAGCTTTGTAAAAGTTTAAAGATAAAAAATTTAATTTTTAAAAGTTATATATTTTAGCTCTAAACAGTTTGGCTTAAAACAAGAATTTTCGTGGTAATCAAATTTTCGATACGAGATTTGTGTTAAAAGCTATAAAGTGATAAAGTTCGGTATAAAAATCGGATAATCGGATTGAACTAGGATTTTACGAAAAATTGAAGGATGATAGAAAAAGGTTGGAAATAATATTTTCATAATTTAGAATAGTGGAATTTAACATGGATCATAAGAATTAAGGTCGATTTTCCATATTAAGCCAAAACTGTGAAATTTAATGACTAAATTGTAATTTTTGAAAATTGACAAGGATAAAGTTGGAAAGTTAATTTTTGTTGATTCATCTTTGACTTTGAATTTTAAATGGGAAGATATAATGGTGGCATGGTGGAAATTAACAAGAATTTTAAAGGATAAAGTTGAAATTTCATATTAAATGAATTTTAAATTCATTTAAATAATTATAAGACATGTGTATTAGTGAAATGGTGTAGAAAATAAAGAAGAACCAGCATCTTCTTCTTCAAAACCCTTAACCACCATTTCTAAAGAGGTAAGAATTTTCAATTTGATTGTTATGCTTATTTGATTATTTTTGGGTTGAGCTATTAGATAGAGAATTAATCTACATGAAATTCTTTATCATTTGATATAAATATTACATGGTGAATAAGCATATATGTTGAGATTGAAAAATTATGGTTTATGATTTTGAAGGATTTATGGAAGATTATTATGTTTTTGATGTTGGAGATTAATTCTAAAGCATGTGTGATGAATTAATTGATGTGTAAGGTCATGTAGTTGGTTCAACCATATTAGGGTTTTTGGGAATATTTGGATTTTGATGTAATTTGAAGATGTGATGATTAGAATAACATGAAATTGATGCAAGGAAGTTGAATTCATGCTTGAAATTGAGTGAAAATCAAGCCTTAGACTACTTGAAGTATTCAACCATATGAAGAAAATTAGGGGGAAATATTGAAAAATATTTTATAGTCTAGAATTGATATCAGAAGTGTTCTATATGATTTGGAGATTAATTTGGATCAATTTGGAGCCTTGAGTTAGAAAAAAGGCTAATATGCAATATTTGTGAATTGTGGGATATTATTGTAAGAATGTGATATTTGGGGTGCTCAATGTGGATTTTAATATTTGAAATGCTAGAAATTTTAAGTTAGAAAGTTGAGTGGATTCAGTTTGCAAATTTGATAAACCTTGAGGTGGAATTCAACAAGTTCTAGGAAATTAGGGACTTGATTGCAAGTTTTCAAATCTGAAAGTATTATTTAGGTAAAATAGAACAATTATGGAAATTTTAATAGCATGTTCATTCCTGAGTTTAAATTATTGAGTTAGGATCAAATTACAAGTTTATATAGATGGATGGTTAAATTCGAAAAGTCTAAGAAGATTTGGGATGGAATTGTAAGTTTTTGAATGCTAAAGTATTGATTTGGGAATTTTATTAAGGTGCTGGAAATTTTAGAAATTAAAGTGCAATGATCATAATGGTGAAGGATCATTATGAATTTAATGGAAAAGATAAGGAGAATTTTAGAAAGAATTTATAATTAATGACTTGATTGTGTATTTGGCATAAGTTGAAGGGT